CCTGTTGCACATAGGTGTTAGTTGCAGATCCTCATCTTTCATTTTTGTTTTGTGTGTTTGATAGCATTCAAGTTATGTTTATTTTATGTAGTAAATATTTAAAAAGGATTTTTTGTCAACTGTATTTGGTCTATCTTAGTAAGGATAGAATCATTTATAAGTAACAATAGTTCAATTGCGTGTTCTTCCTGGGTTATATAGTACAACTAGACAACCTGTGACCTGCTGAGTCATCATTTCAGAGGTATTTCCTTACCAGATTCCTCAATGCCTTCAACAATGGCAGAGCTTCTAATGTGCTGCCTTCACTGGAAAAGTTTTTAAAAATGGAAGATCTGCCTTGAAAATAGCCCATGTCATTCATATTGAACTGTATAGCACAGTCAAGCATCAGAGGTTGACCACAGGAAATGTTTTATGACATTTTGTATTATGTCATAAAATGTTTTATAAAATTTGCCAAATTTCAATTCCATGGGAGTCATGGGTCCTGGATTTTGGACACATTCTGTAAGTTAGCCCATTTGAGGTACCTTGGTTCACAAATTGTTGGTCTATGATGCACCATTTTGCCCAGTTAAAGGTTACAAACAGACATGAGAGTTTTAGTAGTATATAGATAGATGCGTCTTTCAAAACAATAAAAATTGATTAAGGATGAAGCTGAAAATCCCCCAGAAGAAATTACTTCACAATAACTATGCTTATATGAGTAGCAAGTATCTACTGAATTTGCTCCTATCTGTTTTTAATAAATCATTGGCCATTCTTTAATAAAACTCTTCAAATCTTTTAAAAGTGAGTGTGGGAAGAGAGTTCTATGCTAATACAGATGAAATTAGTATGTAATCCATATAATATTGTACTGAATTGCAGAATTTGAAAAAAAAATACTGAGTACATCCAACTGCATTGAGAATTGGTGTAATCAAGCATTCCTAATATATGACCCACTATTACTTTATTGATACACAGAAGAACAATTCAAGGGTGCATCTCTTGCATCTAGAAGGTTCCACTTCAATCCTTAGCACCAAAAGGAAAAAGGATTCGTTTGGATATTTAGGAAAAATCTCTGCCCAGGAGTCTGAAGAGTCAGTCAGATAGAGAGCATTGGCCTATAGCAATGTTTCTCAACCTCAGCAACTTTAAGAGGTGTGGACTTCAACTCCCAGGATTCTCCAGCCAGCATGTCCACACCTCTTAAAGTTACTGGAGTTGAGAAACATGGGGTTATAGGGATCTGCAGAATGCACTGATTTGGGAATATTCTGCTTTCCCTGCACGCCATACCAGATCTTCACTGTACCACCCCCAGAATGACCTGGTCTAGGAAAAGGGTTGGCGTTGCTTGGAGGGAAAAGGAAACACGCATAACATTTCCACACAAAGTGGGCAGAGCTATAAGTGCAGTCACCCCCTAACTTTCAAGACTTCTACTTTGCCTGTGGTGATGGTGAATAAATAAATAATAAAAGCAGTATAAAAAGAGTTTGAGACAAGTTCATTAAGTGATAGTATAACACTTAGTTCTATGGATGATGTTTTGGAACATACGTATTCTTGTTAATAGTGCAGGGCTAACATAGCTGTGTGAATGTGAAGATTTTTTTGTTTAATGCATTAGCAGAAGTGCCAACTGAATTCTATTTCCAGAAAATATTTTTGTGGCTGAGTAAAAAAAAACAAAAAACACTTCAGTTTCTCCCTCTCTTTTTCATTCTCCTTCCTTTCTCTTAAAATCCATGGAAGAAAAATGCTTTTCACTTGTATCCACGAATATCAGTTGCTACTGACAACTAAAGAATAAACTCTGCCAACTACTAGTGAAATTTATTATATCCTCTGTCCCCATTGCACATGGGACAGTTTGTATAGATCTCTCCACTCTGTTTTATAAACCATCTTTTTTGGTTTAGTGTGATTTGTAAATGAATCCAGTTGTGGCTGGTTCAGAAAACCATGGTAAATTGATCCAGGGTATGAACCCAACCAGAGTTGCAGCTTGAAAGGAAAGATTAGCAGCATATACCCTGCCTTTCTTGTTTTGTAAATCATAGACGCTTAGCATAAGATACCAAAGGAACATACTTGCTTTATGGAACAGAAAATGAGAAATTAATAGTGGCTAGAAACACTTAATTGGCTGCTGAGCTCACTTCAAGTATAAGTGGCAGTGTTTTTCCTGGGACTAGTTTCTGCTCTAGCTAGTGGAGGTATAGGAATGTTGTGTTAGGTTGAAGAGGCAATTCATTTTTTAATGTTTAGTTTAATTAGAATATGGGGCATCTACATACTGTTGTCTACTGAAAAAAAAAATCTTCTCAACCTGAGAATCTGCCCTGGTTTTCATCCTGAGCTGGTGTTACACTGCTGTGATCAGATTAAACTCTAATCTTCTCAGAGTGGGCTCTGTCTGTCTCTCTGTGTTTCTCCTTTTTTATTCTATGTTGCTATATGTAAATATATAAAACCTATCTTCTAAAGGTTAGAGTCTTGCTTGTAAAAAAAATATTTTAGATAACTCAGGCTACGTTAATTTTAATATCATCCTAAGTATCCCAGAAAGATTGACATTTCCACTTGAACCTTGAGATACTTCTCTGAACATGGCTTATATTACTGGTCATGTATAGCAAAGGACCATTTTTAAATGCCATCACCAAATTTGTAGTCACCGTTCTTGTACTAAGCGAAGAGGCAACTTTAAACAGTTAAATATCAGGGCTTTCCTTGACTCTGAGCACAGATGCTTTGAGACTCAGTGCATTATTATGGTGTAGGTAAGCAACAGCATTATATAAATGAAAAAAAATATATTGGTACTTAAGATCAGCCAGAGAATCCTAGGCCTATATTCAGACCAAGCTGTTATCACTTGCTTTTTAACAATGAAAGATGCTTGGAAAATTCAAGGATGTTAATTTTAAGCAAAGGGTAGTCATAACTTCAGTTTGTAAGTTTGGTAAATTAGTTAAATATGTGATGCATGAAGAAATCCCTACATTTGTCCAGAACAGACTGCAAATCAATATTAGCTGAAAAAGAAAAGAAAAAAAATGTTTTGTTTTCAGTGGATAGGAATTCAACAAGCTTTTGGGATGGTGACCTTATCATAGGTGACATCTTCTCTCTCTTAAATCCCTTCAAGCAACATAAAGTATCGAAAATCAACAGCTGGATAGGCGATTGTGTTTCCTCACATCACATTGGATGCAGTGGCAACATGTCATAATATACGGATGCAGTGGCAACATGTTATTTAAGAAGTATTACACAGGAAGATCTGGGGAAGGGGATCAGCATCTACTGATCATCTGCTCTCTCTTGGGGTGACTGCAAGGTGATTAAAAAAAAAAAGGAAGATGGTGGCCATGATCACACAATTAGAGCCCCACCCTTTCTTTACATGTATTACATGTGCAATGCATGTAAAAAAAGGATGAAGTTTTGATCGTGCAGTCAAGACCACCATCTTGATTTTTATGACCTCATGAATGCCCCTGCCCCACCCGCCCCAGGAACGCCTCCAGATCATTTGATGGGTTTCAGAGTGATTCCTCCATTTGCAGAAGTCCTGCATTGCCAGAAGTATTAAAGAAAGGGTAATAACAAAGCACCCCCCACCCCTGAGAGTTTGTTTACTTTTTTTTCTGAGAAAATAGCTGCAAATAACATAATCGTAGTTCAGGCTGCAAAATTGGAAGGGCTTTCTTCCTTTAGTCCTAGAAGTTCTAGAATTATCATCTTTGGGGCCAAATGGGAATAATCTATAAGTTTTCATTTAAGATATTTTCCAGAAGTTTTTAATTGCCAGGTTTTTATTCAACATAAAGCTGCATAAGCAACTTGAATGTAAGCCTTATATTACCTCCCTCCTTTGCTGGGCATGTGCTAAAGTAATCAGCAGTGGTATATTAAAATATTCCTTTCATATTTTCTATATCTTTGAAAAGAATAACAACTCTGTCTTTGGTGTGCATATGTGTATGTGTTTATTGATTCTTTTTATGCGTTGAAAAACTATTTTGGCCAGTTTCATTGCCATTCATTACACATTACCCAAATAACTAATGAGTCAATTAACTCCAGTTAGGCTTTGCTAATTGGGGCATGATCAAGTTTTCACAGCTTAAGTTGTGAAAACTTCATCATGCCCCAATTAGCAATGCCTATTCCATGTGCCCAAGCTATGCTGGAAATCAATAGCTTAATTTCAAGCATTAAGTTTTGCTTGCAGAAATAGAAAAGCAAAACTGGGTGGTGCACCAGTTGCGTCCATTCCTGGATGGGGAGGCTCTGCTCACAGTCACCCATACCCTCGTGACCTCTCACTTGGACTACTGCAATGCGCTCTACATGGGGCTGCCCTTGAAGAGCATTTGGAAGCTTCAACTGGTTCAGAATGCAGCTGCGTAGGTAGTAAATGGTGTCAGATATGCGACACATATAACACCACTACTGCATGAGCTGCATTGGTTGCCAGTGTGCTTCTGGGTGCAAGTCAAGGTGCTGGTTGTCACCTTTAAAGCCCTGCATGACTTGGAACCGGATTACTTGAGGGACCATCTTTTCCCAATAATTTCTACCCGTCCAATCCAATCCAGCAGGTTGGGCATGCTGCGGGTCCCGTCAGCCAAGGAATGTCGGCTGGCAAGGACCACAAGACGTGCCTTCTGTGCTGTAGCCCTTGCTCTTTGGAACATCCTCCCTCCAGAAATTAGGATGGCTCCAACCCTGTTAGCCTTTCGTAAGGCCATGAAGACCTGGCTATGTGCTCGGGCCTGGGGCCCCGAAGGTGTTAAGGGCCCTGTCTCTTGGCTATAGTGATAATTATCACAATAATTTTCTCAGCTGCTGTATATGTCTATTTTTTGTATTGTTTTTCATTGCTTTTATTTTAGAATTGTTCACTGCCCAGAGTCACTTGGTTGAGATGGGTGGCTATAGAAATAAAATAAATAAATAAATGCGCTTCCCAAATGTCATTTATACCAGCCTTACCAAGGAAAGTGATTTGCAATCTGAGCTGTTTATTGAAAGAAAAATTAAGGCGGCCAAATGTACCAAGAAAAATGAGATTTCAGATGATTTGTGGAGTCCCAGTATTTGCAGCAGCAGACCCACAGAAAACAAAAGGAACAGGTTAAGGACAGAATCTCAAAACGAGCCCCTGCATTTAATTATTGTCCATGAATATGTTCCCTTTTAAAGTTGCGCAAGCATTTGGCATTCCTACATTAAAGGGTAGCAAATTCCACAATTGAACTATGCGGTATTGATATTGTGGTTGATGTAATCCTGATATTTAGATATCATTTTTGTGTACTTAGTACATTTTATTTCTCTCTCTCTACATTTATGCCTTCAGTTTACTTTGCCTTTCATTTGAACTTTATTCTTTGAGATCTGCTTCACAGGCACTTCTCCAGGTTCCTTCAGCTGCATGATGCTTGAAAAAAGGCGTTTTCAGTGGAGGGTTCCCTTAAACTGCATGCTTTTCCATATAGAATTGCGATGAGTCTTCCCTATTTTTATTGGGTGATCTTTTTAAGGGCTATTTTCCCTGTCAACAGTGATTTCATTAGTACTTGATTTTTTAAATGGATATTTCTGACTTTGTTTATTTGCTATACATTATTTTAAAGTTTGTATTGTAATTTCATCTTACTAAAGGCTCTTTTGGAAACCTTGTAGTAAGAAAGTCACGTAACAATATAAATAGATATAGCCTAGAATGTATGATGATACATGAAGCTGCACATGAGAATCTTTTTGTAAGTTTCAAGGAAGCCAAGAGGGAGATTGTTGTTCTCATTCTGACTGGAGACCTGTGATATGTGTATGTGTGTGCGTGTGTCTCTGTGAAAAAGAAGATGCTGGTAGGCCATTTGATACTTTCTCCTTTTTAGCTGACATTCTGAAATCCAAATGTCTCTATTTTATCTCAAATGTTCTTTTAATTGAATATCAACAGTGTTGGAGGAGACCTGCAGGGTTCTATTTCATCACTGGTATACTGTCTAACAAAGGCAAACCTTGCGTTTCGGGATTCACGTTAACCTGAAGTCAGAGCAGAGTTGTATTTCTTTTTTTGTGTAGTAGGGCACTGAGACCTTCCAAAGCACAAGGCAAGGGAAGGGTTCCCACATTTTGATTAATCATTCAGTCTAGCCTGGCAAGTGCCATACCATATGTGACACCAGGAGAAGCAACTGTAGCTGTTTGCAAATCCCCAGCCTTAAACACCAAGAATATTTGTCATTAAGGTTTAAACTACAGAATGAGTTGTGTTGGAGAGAAGATGGTTAGGTGTCACGTTAATAGGATGGCCATACTCTGTTATGGAATTGATTTCTAAGAGACACATTTGAGCTATAAATTCATACAAATTAAACACATCCTTTCTGGAAGGGTGCCCATAGTGTTAATGACAAATGATGGAAACTAGATACTTCTCCCTGCCAGCCTATTTCCTTTTCAGCAGGGTGGCTTTTTATGCAAACTTTTTGCTTCCTATGATTTGGTTTGACTTCCTTGGTGTGATTGTTTTGGGAAGGAAGAAAGGAGTACTGTAATACTGAAGCTTAGTTATAACCCAAAAATCAGGCCAAGTTAATAATGGAATCTTTTTTTTTCTTTCAGGACCTTGGCCTACTGACTTCTCCTTATGGCATTTCTTCCCACCCAGGTGATCCTCAGTACTTCTTAGGCTCTCTGAATTAAATCTTTGAAGAGACAGTCTAACCTTATCCTGGAACAATTTATTTCAGAAATTACCTACATGAGCATTCTACAATCTGGGGCCCTCTAAATAGGTCAGACTACTGCTGGTTGCGGTAATGAAAGGTTACACTGGCCAGGTGTGGGGTGGGAGAGTACCATATAGGTAAGGCTGATTTCCATGTTCAAGAAAAGTACATGGAACAAACCTTCTCTGAATATAAAATGTTAGAATGTTGTCTTTCTCATAATAATGGTGTGGCCCCCATCGGCCTCTTGGATTTTTTAGCTTTTTTATTTTTTAATGCTTGGTTT